GGAGAGTATGTCACTGAGTTTTTGCACCTGGGCATTGAAAAGGCTTTTCTCCTATCTGCTGTTCACAACCACATGCCCTGGCCTTGAGTCCTTTGTGAACCATGTCTGCTGGAACCTAGAAAGGCACAAAAGGGGCAGAGAATGTGAGAATAAGGTGGACCAGCCACAGTGGCTCACGCCTGTAATCCCAGCACTTTGAGAGGCTGAGGCCAGAGGGTCACTTGAGCCCAGTAGTTGGAGGCTGCAGTGAGCTGTGATGACGATGACACCACTGTGGTCTAGCCTGAGCAACAGAGCAAGACCCTGCACCGCCCCCCCCAAAAAAGAAAAGAAAGATGCTGAAGAATCATTTTATGACTTATCTAGATCAGGAAACTTATTTTTAACAACAAAAACATCCTTATTATATTTAATTAGGCTTTAAAAGTTACAGCTGGTCTCTTCTGTCATGGAAATAGAGCCTGCTTTAATAACCTCACATCATGATTAGAATTTTATTCTCTCATAGAAGAAGGGCAGATTTTCCTATTATACAATTCGAGGGCTAGAGTCAGGGAAGGTGGTGGAAGAGAAGGGGTGCTAAAGAGTATCGCGGGTGAGGAAGGCCCTGAGCTGGTGGCTGCGCATGGCGGTGAAGGCAGTTCATGGTACTGTACATGTGGAACCCCAGAAAGGAAGCCCAGGGGAGAGGAAAACGTTGCCTTGGCGTGCGGCATAATGTCAACTGAATCCTTTAGTGGGGAGCACTTTGTGATATTTCCCTTAGCAAGACATCATATAGCTTGGCAAAGAGTCCTTTTAAAAAAAAAAAATTCTATAATTAAAAAAACAGAAGTCATCCATACATGGGATTTTAGGGACCCCTAGATCCCCCTGAAGTTTGCTCACCCAGCCAGGTAAGCCAGAACAGAGTGGTAGAGAAAGGGTATCAATGAAGACAGGCACAATAAAAACATTACCTAAGTTTACAGAACACTGAAGAGTTTAGGAAATACTTTCCCAAGCATTATCCTCGTTAGCAACTCTGTGAGGTCACAGAGTTGGAGATGGGGTGCAGCGACCTGCCCAAGGTCACGCAGCTAGCACAGGGCAGGGCAGAAAACAGGGCTCTTCACATTTCCCAACCTGCTTCCCAGGGGGCTCCATGCAGATCTGGTGGGAATGGGCATTTCCACCCTTATTCCTCCCCACGTACCTCATTTACTGGTTGGAGTTCCACGAACTTCACTCTGCTAACTTGTCCTGTGCTTTAGTATATGGAACTGCTGACCCTCAAATAAACCAGTGTGATTGGCTAAGCATCTGCATCTGTAGGCGGGAGGCGCTAGAGCCAGGCTAAGATGGGAGCAGACTCAGGCCAGGCTGGTGGGCTAAAATCCCAGATGTGTGGCTGACAAACTGCATGAGCTTGAGCACGTTACTTAACCTCCGATCAATGTACAAAAAGCACATAGCCCAGTGCCAACGATGTGATAAAAGTTGGGTAATTGATGCAGGCTTTCTGTATTATTGAGTTCTCCTCTGCCTTCTTTGGGACTGTATCATAAAAAGAAAACTACCAATAAGAGGTTGAATCATGTTAACTTCATTTTCTACTCTCCAAGGAAAAAAGTCGCAAACACATAAACACAAGGAATGCCTTGTCCACTCATGCCCGTGGGTTTAGCTAATGAGTCTACCTGGTTATGCAGAACTCCACATGCTGGAATAATTGATTCCACCCCCTACGCCAAGCTCATACTTAAGAAAAATTTAATAAATGCCACTCATCCTTCTAATCTCTTGCCAAGCATCAGCATTTTCTTGTAAAAGTTACTGTTCTTCAAAGCTGGGGGCAGGTGGACTAAAAGCCAAAATTACCCAAACAGCTTGAACTCATGGAGTTTTTCTCCAAACAAGCAGCAGAGGCTGGTGGGTGCGGATAGGGAATCTGCTATCAAGGGCTCCCCCTATAGGCACCAAAAAGCAATGGCTAAAATTTAAAGTGGTTATCATTTACGCCTAGTAGAGAATTGTTTCCCTTCCTTCTTCTTTTGGAAAAGTTTCTAAAGCAGTCCTGAAACCACAACTTTACTTGTGATGTAATCCCGTTTCCAAAAATCTGGCCAAAGAGTCTAACTATTTAAGGAACCAAGAATCAATC